TTAGCTCCGGAATAGCAAAATGGTAGAATAAGCTTTACTTTGAAAGGAGAAACTAAAAAATGTTTTGAAGACATGTAGCTTGAAACAGTTGATTTGATTTGAAGAAGGTTGGATTGTTGGACTCAGGGGTATTAAAGCTTTCAGATGTACTTCAGTCCACCTGCTGCTAGATCAGAGGTCTTCAACGTTTTTCAGGCCAAGGACCCCCAAACTGATGGCGAGATGGAGCAGGGACCCCCTATTCTACGGAGTTTGGTCCCTCATCGTTTATTTTTGAGCTTTGTGGTCTTTAGACGTGACCATAAACGCGATCTGATTGGCCGGTGCCTGTGATGTCGTATCAGCATGAAAGTAGCTGTGAGTGAACCGGTGAGCAGCTTGGGAGCTGAAAGATCTCCATCAATGTATCCGTCCGCTACAATATGTTGGATTCATGTTAATGTGTATTTAAAGACAATAAATACAATTCTGATTCTGAAGACATTTCAATTTGTGGGAAAAATATTGTTTGAAAAAAAACAAAAACGTATCAACCAAAAATTTCACGACCCCCCTGCAGAACCTCCGCGGACCCTCTGTTGAAGACCTCTGAGCTAGATGATGAAGAGAAGTATGATTGTCTTCCTCTCAGTCCTAACTTCTGATTTGTTTTATTCCTCCACAGCTCAACGGTCCAATCAATGCGTCCGTGTGCTCCGACCTTACCTCATTAATAAGTGCTACTCATAATCAACTCTTCTAGTGCGTCCTGTTATTCAATCAGTGGTAACAAGGTGAAGGAGGTCAGTGCAGCCGGAGATTCACACTCACTGATCCTGGATGTGCACTCAGTGGACGACATCCACACATCAGTTCCCCTCCCCATATCAAACAAACCTTCTCTCTCTTTTAATAGCATCATTACAGGTCATTTAGATGATGCTTTTATCCAAAGTGACTTACATTGCAATTTAACCTATGGTCATTTTTGCCCAACATCCAAACAGCTGCAGAAACATGGTGACAGTAATTTCAGCAGAATGTTATGAAGGAATGATTATTAACAACATGTGAGCATGAACATCAAACTGAGAGGAAGAAAGGAGCGGCTGCTTCACACATTTATACTCCTGTAGAACGCAGAGAAATATGTGCAAAAATATGTCAATCATGTGACAGGTTAAAATACTATTAGTCTTAAAAGTGAAAAAAATGTTGTTCATATCTAAAAAGACTCTAGAACAGCGGTTCCCAAACTCAAGAACGCCGCGGCCCACTTTGAAACGTGAAAATCTTTTGCGGCCCACCCAAACCTTTAATCACAACTCTGATCAAAACATAAACTAGGGATGATTAAATGACCTTAAGAATTTAACCGATTCAAAATGTATTAACCGACAATGTGTGTTTTGTGTTCCATTTTCTCCGGACTCATGTGCCGTGTTTTCCGCACAATAAGGCGCATAAGATACTGCAGTCTATCAGCGCAAATCACTGTCAGAATTCCAGAGCGCAAATCAGGTTGATGCGCGCGCGTAAATCAGACATCCGCCAGCAAAAGTCCTTAGCGAGGTATTTGCTCGCTCGCGGAGCGTGAACTTCGTTGCTCGGAAGGTTAGTCTCTGCTCAGGGTCCGATCGATGCGTCCGCTCCCGCCGCCCCCCTCGCCATCCACGCCTTAAATCTTCGGCTGCTTTTAGAATAACTTATTTTCCCCGTTAAGATGGTTCAGCTACTGTAGAGAAAAGGGCGCCGTCTCTCGCTCTTTAATCTCATGAAGTGCTCGGCGAGAACGACAGCTTTGTTTCTCCGACGCGCCCTGAAAGCAGCTCCGTATCTCACTCAGCATCTCGCCGTCGTAGACGAGCTTTGGCGTGTTTGGCCTTGAGCGCCGTGTGCAACCAGTGTGGATCAACCCATTAACCAATCTGTTCGTTTAAATTGTTTGTGCTTCATCAATTAATGTTTCACATAACTAATGTGCCGCATCATACATATTTTTATATTAATTTCAAACTTTTCAAAATTGAAAATTAAAAACGTTTTATTTATTTATTGTAAATGACCTCTTGCGACCCACCCGCAGTACCTTCGCGGCCCACCAGGGGGCCGCGGCCCACACTTTGGGAATCGCTGCTCTAGAACATCTGGTTCCTATCTCAGAATCAGGATCAGAAGCCATTTATTGCCACATAAGTTACACATAGAGGAATTTGACTAGGCGCATTTGCTGCAATATACGAGTCAAATAAGATAAAAGTATACAAGCAGAGTCACTTGCTGAGAACTGTGGTTGGAGTTTCTCAGAGTACAGACGTTTAGCATCTCTCACCGCCTTGCTAAACTTGTATTTTGACTCTGTACAAGTCTTTGTCCCCACTCCTAAATGCCTGATCACCACGTATCTCTAAAGATTTACTTTATTACAAAGTTCAAAGTATATTGCAGGCAGCTGTGGTTGCCAGAATATCATTGCAAAAAAAAGTAGTTTGGAATGAATTGTAACTTCTGCTTTTAATCAAATAACAAAGGAAATATAACAGTCAATTGCAAATTAAGATAGTCGTCCTGAAGAAACAGCATGTGTCCATAAAGGTTAATCCATGAGTAAACATTATTAGTCCTTTGCCCTGAGTTGATCAAGAGTAATGAATCATTCAGACTTGACTGAAGAGGTCACACAACCTGGTGTAGAGTCTCACGTGTACATAATGTTCAGGATCAAGCGGGTAGTTTCACTAGTTCTACGTGAGGAGTCATATGTTGCCCAGTCAGTGTTCAATGTGGACTGCAATGATCCTCTGCAGCCCACAAACAGAAAGAAAGGGAAAGTTAAAATAAAGTCAAATTTTAGTTTGAGGATTCCCAAATCAATCTTGTGTTGGCTGGGAACGGGCATGATCCACTCCAGAATAATATTAACAACAATACCAATAACATAACTGTGTCAGGGGAGGTGCGAGGAAAAATGCAGACATGAACCAGGAACACTCTGACAAGGACTACCGGACATTCAACAATGACGCGACAAGTGACAAGTGACACACATGGCGTAAAGACACTAGGGAGGTGCAGGTGATTGGACACAGGTGGAAACAATCATGACAAGGCAGGAAGTGAAGTTACTCAGAGAGACAAGAAGCATAAAAATACAAAATAAAACAGGACATGAACCCAAACCGAGACAAACTGCACAAATGTAATATGATTCCCACATAGTTCACACAAAACCTAATCCAAAAGAATAACAACAGACACAGAACATTAAAGAGGGTTAAACAGAACAAATATAAAAAGGGGAACAGAGTATGGTAACCTACAAATATGATTTATGACACAAAACAGCTTATAATTCATGTCTAAATGAAGTCAAAACAGGTTTTACCAGCAAGTAGAACCCACATTGGATTATGCAAAGTCTAGGTTTATGTAGTGCTCAACATCAGCAATAATGTTTAAACATGAAATGATAACAGTGCTTACAGAAATAGAATACCCTAAAGCCATACGTTGTTAAGTTATAATACACTGAACTTTACAACAACTTATTGTTGTAACTTTTTATCCATGACAAAACTTGCATCAGATCATAAGGTAATACCAGTAGGACAACAAACAGGGCGATGAAGTGAACATTAAGTATAACATAGTTATTATACCTGAATGAGAGAGTAAGGGAACGGGAGTGACAAGAATCATCTTTAAAAGTAAAAGAAACTGCTTGCTTTTGGCATTTAAAATTCTCAAATCGTACCATTTTCCTGGTTACCCAAAAAGTTGTTCCCATTCAAGTCCCCAACCACTTGAGTTTGAATGCCATGTCTGAAAGGTTGCTGTATTAAATTAAATTATTATATGTCCCTAATAGTGCTGTCTGCATAATCCTTGTGTTTCCGTGACATATGGGAAGATTTCACCAGGAAAATATTGTTTGCTTCCCCCCACAAGTCAAGATGCACCCTTCCACAAGATGTTTGCTTTTGTTTTGCTGTTTTAGTAAAAGTTCTTTACAATTAACAGTGACGAACTGTTTTCGTTACAAAGCATGACTGTAAACAACACAGTGCTGGCGAGGATATGTTTTATCTCGATTGGCACCATGATGGTCCGTATATTTAACACTAACAAAATATATTTTTAGAAGTAATTCATGTAAAAATCACAATATTGAATGATTTCCATATAACGGTGCATTTCTGTTGTGAGTAAAATTTCTAGTACAATAAACAGTGATAAAATGTATTAATGCCCAAATCATTTTCTGTGATGGCATATATATTTACGGTGTTTCACTGTCAAATAAACTAAACAGAGAGAGACAGAGAGAGAGAGAGAGAGAGAGAGACAGAGAGAGAGAGACAGAGAGAGAGAGAGAGACAGAGAGAGAGAGAGAGAGAGAGACAGAGAGAGAGAGAGAGAGAGAGAGAGAGAGAGAGAGAGAGAGAGAGAGAGAGAGAGAGACAGAGAGAGAGAGAGAGAGAGAGAGAGAGAGAGAGACTATAAGGAGACGCCAGCGGCGCACGAGGCATCGGATGAAGCTTAAGGAAAGAGACGCGCGAGCCTTTGCGCATCAGGACGCTTCTTTAAGGACTACGTCACTGTGACGGCGGGATTTATTGTTGTTGTTATTAGTATTGTTTTTGATGTCCACGAGGAGCGACCGCGCGCCCACTGGGCACCGGCGAAAGTTGGAGTAGCGCCGATGGGCGGAGAAAGCACGAGCTCCCGAATTCCGCCGGTTTACAGCCACCGAGCCCCGGACTGACTCCTCCGGTAACACCGCGGACCGTCACCGGGAGACAGACAGAGACACGGAGAGACACAGACAGAGACAGAGACACGGAGAGACACAGACAGACAGAGACAGACAGAGACACGGAGAGACAAAGACAGACAGAGACAGACAGAGACACGGAGAGACACAGACAGAGACAGAGACACGGAGAGACACAGACAGAGAGAGACAGAGACACGGAGAGACACAGACAGAGACACAGAGAGACACGGAGAGACACAGACAGAGACACAGAGAGACACGGAGAGACACAGACAGTGAGAGACAGAGACACGGAGAAACACGGAGAGACAGACAGAGACAGAGACACGGAGAGACACAGACCCAGGTGAACCAGGACCGGAGGTTCTGTTCAGCCTTTAGATCTCGTCATGATCCTCATTAATGCCGTCATGGTGCTGTTTCTGTTGGGTGAGTAATTCTGCCTCAAACTACCAACTGCACGCACACGCACGCACGCACACATGCACACGCACACACGCACACGCACACACACACCGATGCTCCCGGTCACACGGTTCATACCAAGTGAAGAAGTGTGTGTTTGTGGGTGTGTTACTGTGTCACGTGTTAGGGTTCATAATGTATTATTATTATAACATAACTGATATTACGATCTAAGCGTGACATCATCAATGTTTCTGAGGACAATACTTTCTATTGTTGTTGATTAACTATTTCAAACATATAAAATATGAATAATATATTTATCAGCTTTCTCAGCTGAGGATGAAACAATTGAATATATAATGTGATGATGGTATGTTTATTTTTAACTTTATTTTAAATCATTATAATTGTAAGATATTTGCAGGCCATTCTGATTATTTTATTTTCCCTAAATTATTTCTTCCTGTGTCCTTTTTTGTTAATGAGTGAGCTGTCATTCAAAGCATGTCATGAGCTCTTCTCCTTACTGGTCTGGTGTGTGGACCTGGTCTGTGTTCCTGGTTGTTGATCTATGATCCTGATCCACGGTAATGAGCGGTGGTGCTTGTTCATTGTGCTGGTCTGGACTGGACTCTGGTGCTGATCTAGTGCTGGTAGGTGGTAATGATCTGTGATGCTGGTCCGTGATGAGGATCCGTGGTGCTGATCTATGGAGTTGGTCCGTGTTGCTGGTCTGGTCTCTGATCCTGAAACCAGTCATCTAAAGAACCGTTTGTTCCAGTCTTGGAAACACAACTGTTGTTGTGAAATCATGAGAGTGATGACGCAGCAGAAGTGTGATCAAACAAAGCGGCTGATAAAATATTGCTTTATTAACCTGATGGAGGTTCTATCTCAGGTTCTAGGTTATAATACAGGTTATATTGTTCTATGTTCTCTCAGGTTCTATATTTCTTTTTCTTGGGTTCTAGGTTATATTACAAGTTATATTAAAGATTCCAATTTCTTTTTCTATTACAGGATCTATCTTATGTTCTACATCAGGTTCTATCAAGGGTTCTAAGTTTTATCTCAGATTACGTTCTCTCTGAGGTTCTAGGTTATTTAAAACAGGTTATATTTCTGGTTCTATATCAGGTTCTATCATAAGTTGTAGGTTCTCTTTCAGGTTCTATATCAGGTTCTCTCTGTTTTCTAGGTTCCATGGCAGGTTTTTTTGCAAGTTGTGTTTCTATTACAGGATCTATCCTAGGTTATATTTTAGGTTCTATGTTCTATCTCAGGTTCTCTGTTATTTTACAGGTTCTCAATGATTTCAATCATCAGTCACTCATTTAAGAACAAGCAGCAGCTTAGCGTGGAACACGCCATGTCTTGTGGATGACTGTAGGTTCCACATGTTCTATGAGATCTCCTATGTTTATGTGGAATAATTACAAAGAGGATGATTGAACTCTTCAGTGTGGGATGTGGGCCTCAGGAATATTCCTCTGCTCCTCGATGTTCTGGGATTGTCTTCTCTTATTGGTAACTGGATTCATTGTGTTCTGTGACTTGTTGATCTAGAAACATCTCTTACACTAAAACCTTTTATTCTCCTGCACCTCCTTTTACCTTAACGTAACTGAATGTCACATTGAACCAGGAATTTAAAGGAGAAGGTTTTCTTCAAAATAAAGGCATCTTCTGAGTCCTCAGAAGATAATGGAGACAATGGAGATGACAGATGACTTGATGATGTTCTTACGATGTGACTGTTTGTTAGATGAATAAAGTACTTGGAGTAGAAGATGTGGACTGCTTTGCGCCTGATGAACATCATCTCACTCCCTGATCCTTCTCTTTCCTCCAGACGTGTGCGAGTGTGACTCCGAGCTGTCCCCCGGCCGGGAGGAACCTCTGGACTGTGTCAGAGCCTCCGAACTGTGCAACCAGAACAGCCAGTGCAGCTCGAGGTTCCGCATCATGCGCCAGTGCCTGTCCGGGGGGGGCAAGGAACGCAGCGCCATGCTGGCCTCCAAGGAGTGCCGTGGGGCACTGGAGGTGCTGCAGGACTCTCCGCTCTACGACTGCCGCTGCAAGAGAGGCATGAAGAAGGAGGTGCAGTGTCTGCAGAACTACTGGAGCATCCACATGGGTCTGAGCGAGGGTGAGTCCGTCCAGGAGGTCAGAGTCCGTCGTGAGGTAGTGGTTTCCAAACAATCATTTTGTCGAGGCCCCCTTATGATTATATAGGAACAGTGAAAGAACATATACTGTATTTCTTAGTGTGAATATGTTTGTAGGTTTGTAAGTGTGTGGTCAGTTACACACTGGGGTCTCTCTTCTTGTAAAGCCCGGGGACAGAAATGCCCCATATATTTTAATACTTACTTACCACGGACAGCAGCTACAACAAATCAGCTTTTCTTGTGCACAGTTTGCTTGATTTATTTTCCTTTCTTATGTGTACCTATATGATATAGCGTCCAATCTTTACATTGTCTTTGCAATTGTATTTGTTAAAATTTTAATGTTTTACCAGTCTGTGTGCGGGTTCATGATGAAGTTGCGCCCCCTGAAGTTTCACTATGGCCCCCCAGTGACGAACACCACATGAAACACCCCTTCAGATGTGCTGTGTTTGAGTCACCTGGCTAACGTCTTTGATTGGTGCAGTCCCTCCGCTGGTCACACACACACACACACACACACACACACACACACACACACACACACAGGACTGGTTGGCTGGCCTAGTTTGGGCAGAGCTCATTAAGAGCCTCTCTCTTTGTTCTCTGTTCCACTAAGGATGTCTCTGTAGTCCCAGCAATTCTTGCAAAGCTTCTGCACACACAGATAGAAGGACGTACACAGAGACACACACACACACACACTTGGCTGACACACACAGGACATACATTTCAGCCACTGAAAGTCATTGTCTCAGACGTCTGTAACAAACGGCAGTCGGTTCAAGGACACCTGGTGTGTGTGTGTGTGTGTGTGTCTCCCAGTGTTCAGACAGCAAATTCAAAGTATTTTTGTCTCATTATGTCATGGTAGAAGGTTCCGGATGTTGGGTGTTAAGTTTTCTCCTAAGCTTGCATATTAATTGTATATAGAATATTTGGCTTGATGTACTTGTACATTGAGTAAAGTAGCAGAATGCTTTGGTACTACATCCTAATACACTGCGTATTTTACACTTTTGTCTCCTTGATTGTTTTTCTTGGACTTGGTGTTATTGTTTGTTTGAAAAAGCGATTAATAAAATATTATTGTTGTTCTGTCAGGAAGTTGCGGCAGGACTCAAACGCAGAGTTTGCAGGAAACAAAAAGGGACTTTAATAGTCAAAAAACTCCAAAACTCCAAACTCCAAAAAAGGCACGAACAAGGTCAGGGAACAGGAGATAGGAACCGAGAACAAGGACAAGGACATGGACATGGACAAGGACAAGGACAAGGGCTTCTAACAATCAACAAGGAACAATGACGCAACCAGTGACAACAGACACACACGGCTTAAATACACTAGGGAGGTGCAGGTGATTGGACACAGCTGGAAACAATCATGACACGACAGACAATCACAGGGGAAGACAGGACAAGGCAGGAAGTGACGTCATCAGGGAGAACAAAGGCAAGAAACTACAAAATAAATTAACCCAAACCGTGACATGTTCTTATCATCATCATGATGACACACTGCTCAGTCAATAATTCCTTGAAATATTTCTCGTTAAACCATCACACTAAAAGTAAACTAGCATTTTTAAAACTTTATTAAGGTAATTTATATCGGTCAGATCTATAAGCTAATTTATGATAGATAATATCTAAATATGTCGTATGTGTACAGACTGTAAAGCCCTCTGAGGCAAATTTGTAATTTGCGATTTTGGGCTCTACAAAATAAAATGAATTGAATTGAAATAGGGAACTATATTCTATACTAGAAAGCAGTCCTAATACATCAAACAGCAGCTTGATTACAGAGCAGCTTATAAAGATCTGTATTTCTTTAATCACGTTATTTAATTATTTTCCACGTTGTATAAAAACCTTAAGTTGAATTTCCAGATACATTTTTACTTTTACTGGTCCGTAAAGCTAACACAGGTCCAGCTTGATGCACCCGTGTTAGCTGCATCTGGAACCGGGCTCTGAAACTAAGTCCCTAGAGTAGCTAAAGGTGAACTTTCTATATGTTACAGGTTCTCTGTTTGCCCTTGTGGGGTCACGGTTCTTTAAGGGCTCTTCAGGCATCTGGAACCGAATACTGCACAAGCAGAAGTTATTCTGGACTTTACAGGAGAGGCTGGACATCCTGCACATATTCACCTTACAGACCAGAGACAATGTAATGAAACAGAAAAGCTACGGACAATGAAATGAGGACAATAAGTGACTGAAAAACGTATTGACAAATACTCATTACTCCAAATTAAGAGGTTCATAACTCGCTGGAGACGAAGTGTGTGTTATATGAAGTTATCTTGACGTCTTCAAGCCTTTAAACGGTCTCTCATCAGCCAATCAGCAGGCCTGTAGTTAATTAAGAGAGTCGTTACTGATGGCAGGATTCTCAGTATGTGATTACCCAGAAGCCCCTCTGAGAGCAGCGGCGGAGGTGTTAAAGGGGACGGAGTACGGGACTAACGAGCTGAGGGACGGAACATCGGAGGTGTTCCTGTATGCTTTTCTTCTTTGTTTCTGTTCCTTCTTCGTTTGAGGACCCTTCCTCGGAGACTCAGCTGAGGAGATCTTGTTCTTCAGAGTTTGTGTCCTTATGGTTGAAATGCACTTATTATAAGTCGCTTTGGATAAAAGCGTCAGATAAATGACACGTGATGTGATGAGATACACTTGACTCAGGTTAGTATGCTGACTAGAAAGGGAGGCAGAGAGACACAAGACCATAAAGAGACGTACTACTACCACACAGAGACCAGGTGAACCCCATCAAGAGACACAGAGACCACAAAGACACACAAAACCACCTCAAAGAGCCGCAAAATTAAGACAGAGACAAAATAAGAACAACACTTTGTCTCCTAATTGAGTGTACATCACCTCCAGTGTGCCGAACAGATTTTATGCTCTTCTTCCTCAGAAGACTGAGCTACACAGAAAGAATGTGGCATCTGGATTAGGAGGTGTGAGACGCTGCCCTACTTTGTCCTCCAGCCCCTTTTAAATCCACCCTCCTTGTTCCTGTTCAAACACGTGACCATCTGAGTAATAACACTGATATGTCACATTCTACACTTCTCATTGATGCTTTCACAACTTCCTGTAAATTACATTACATGTCGTTTAGCGGACGCTTTTATCCAAAGCGACTTACAATAAGTACATCAATAAAGGTCTCAGGAGCAGTAACCAAACAGAAAACAGCAAATCTATTAATCATCTGACGAGAAGGCCCAGCTGAAGACTATCACCCTGTAAATTCAAGAGCTTTATCCTTTATTTAAGTTGTCTTGCCATCACGCTGCGCTTGGTTAATCATCCTGAGAGTTCGGACCTCGCAACAAATAGACATGCAATCATAAAGACATTAAGACCACAAATGGGGAGAATCAGAGGTCAAGCAAACAGCCTTCTAATTATGTTAATGTGATCGACTTGTTAATCAGACAAAACATAAACACTGAGTCAGTGTGGAGCTCAGTGATAACTTCCTTATCAACAGTTTCCTTTGAAATCATTATTAATAGCTTTATTATTTGTAGACTGGTTAATCTTTTAAACATTCATCATCAAATTTATTCATTTTGTGTGGATCAACTGAATCTCAAATGCGTTAAAATGTTCCTGTACTATTTTTATGAGTTTCTCCATAAATATAGCTGCAGCCGCAGAATAATTGTATTCCAACATGTTTACTGATATCTGGCCCTGTTAATATTTTACAGATTTCAATTAATTTAAAATTTCATTTTATTTTGTATAGCCCAAATTATAAATTTGCCTCAGAGGGCAAAGACGTCCTCCGTCCCGAAACACTCACATCGGCAGAGCAAAAACTCCCCCCAAAAATAAAAAAGCAGTTTGATGGGGAAAAAGGGATCTTAGTAAAATATGTAAAATATATGTTCTCCTTTTATGAACCCTGTCAATGGATCGATCTGTTGTTGTGTGTTATTTATTTTCTATTTATTTCCGTTTGTTAAGAAAAACGCTCTGAGTGGCCGCTCGCTTCGCTCAGCGGGGCATCGCGGCGGGCAGCAGGCCGACGAAGCAAAGCAACACGAAAAGCTCCATGAAAACCCCCCTTGGCCGTAGAGTCCAGCGAACCCCTCCAATGTCTAAACATTACATTACATGTCATTTAGCAGAGGCTTTTATCCAATGCGACTTACAATAAGTGCATTCAACCATAAGGACACAAACTCACTCAAACAATGTGTTAGTGTGTTAGTGGAGGTAGAGTGTGAAGAGGTGTGTCTTTAGTCTGAAGATGTGAAGGCTCTCTGTGGTCCTGATGTCTTCAGAGACCTCCTTCCACCATTTAGGAGCAGGACAGCAAAGAGTGGTGATCTAGTCGAGTGTTTTGCTCTCAGTGAGGGAGGAACAAGCAGTTTATCACATGCAGAGCGGAGAGTGCGGGTCGGGATGTCGGGTTGGACCAGGTCCTGGATGGAAGCTGGACCCCATCCATTCACAGCACGGTACGTGAGCACCATTTTTAGAACTGGATGAGCCACCGGTACCAGTGAAGAGAGCGGAGGAGTGGAGGAGTGAGGGAGAACTTAGGAAGGTTAAAGACCAGTGGAGCTGCTGCATTCTGGATGAGCTGCAGAAGTGGAATGGTGGTAGCAGGAGACCTGCAGGAGAGAGTTACAGTAGTCCAGGAGGGAGACGACAAGAGGCGGAGAAGGAGAGAATTAGTTGGGTGTCATCAGCATAGCTGTGGTAGGAGAAGCCATGGGAATGAATGACAGCGCCGAGAGAGTTGGTGTAGAGCGAGAAGAGAAGGGGACCCAGGACGGAACACTGAGGAACTCCAGTAGTAAGAGGACAAGGTTCCGACACAGATCCTCGCCAGCTACCCGGTAGGTGGGGCCATCGAGGTAGGACGAGAGAAGGGAGAGAGCGGAGCCTGAGACACAAAGTTCCTGAAGGGAGGAGATAAGGATCTGGTGGTTGACTGTGTCAAATGCAGCAGAGAGGTCCAGAAGGATGAGGACAGAGGAGAGAGAGGAGCTCTAGCAGTGTGGAGTTGCTCTGAGACAGCGAGGAGAGCAGTCTCTGTGGAACGGCCTTGAAGCCTGACTGGTGGGGGTCAAGGAGGTTGTTACGGTGGAGATTGTAGTATGACCCTCTGGACGCCCCGTACCGTATCTGTGTTGTCGTGCAGGTCAGTTCAGTAAATATGCCAGCAGGCTGAAGACATGCCGTTGTCCGTGTCCATTTGTAACGGCAATTACCACATGATGTCAGACGTGTTTATTGTTAAGACTAACTCAGCCTTCGACAAGGACGTATAGTTGACAGAAGAACAAACTCAACTTCAAGAAAAGCAGATTTGGACGTAAGTTAAATCACCGCATCGGATCGAGTGAGATGTCCGAAGGAGACGGAGAACGCGCAGGACTTTCTCCTGCAGCGCACACCGGAGGAGTGTTTCAGATTAGCCCTCCAGAGACGTTTGACTGCAGAGACGTCCAGAATTGGCCTAAATGGATTCGGCGATGCGAAAGGTACAGAACGGTGTCGGGATTGGATAAGAAGGATGAGGCATTCCAGGTGAACACATTGATATATTCCATGGGAGATGAGGCTATTTTACATGCGTCAGCGATAGAAGAAAGGGACAAGCTAGTCTACGAGAAAGTAAAAGACTGTTTCAATACACATTTCGTTGGAGAACACAATGTGATTTTCGAGAGGGCCAGGTTTAACATGCGGAAACAGGAGCAAACGGCGGAGTGCTTTATTACTGCAGTGCACAAGTTGGCGGAATATTGCAAGTTTGGAGCCCTCAGAGAGGAACTGATACGTGATCGTATAGTCGTGGGCATAAGTGACATCAAACTTTCCGAAAAGCTTCAGTTGGATTCAAACTTGACTCTGTCTACAGCTACGAACTTAGTTAGACAGAGGGAAGCTGTTAAGCAGCAGCAAGTGGTGCCGCACAGCGAGCCCAGTGACGACGTGCACGCGCTTTCGCCCGCTCAAAAGAACAAGTGGAATTCAGGACGAAGAGCAAAACATAGTGCTGCTGGAACATCGGGAAAGTGCCATAAATGTGGGCGAGTACCATATCATAGTTGGAAAGACAGTCCAGCCAAGGAGGCTGAATGTAGGAAAAGTCACCGAAGAGGACACTTCGCTGCTGTCTGCAAATCCAAGCAGCCTGTGCATGAGATGGCAGACGAGGAGGAGCAGCTTTATCAGGACAGCCTTTTCCTGGGTGAGGTGAAGGCAGACAGTGCTGGTTGGTACTCATCAAAATGAATGGAGAAGTTGTTTCTTTTAAACTAGACACCGGAGCAGCAGTGACTGCAATACCCACTAAATTATATAAGTGCAAAAGAGATGGTCCTCTACTTCACACCTCAAAAAGACTGTATGGCCCAAATAACAATGCACTGCCTGTAGTAGGACAGATTCAGAGTAAGCTACAAAGTAAAGATAAAAAGAACACTCAGTCTGTGTTTGTCATTGACAACCTAGCCAGGCCACTGCTGGGCTTACCACTACTTACAGCACTGCACCTCATTGAACGAGTTGATGCAGTTGAAGAACAAGGGGAGAAAGAAGATCCAGGGGAGGTCTTCAAAAAGAAGTTTCCAAAGGTTTTCAGTGGATTAGGGAGACTTGAAGGCGATTACCAAATCCGCCTGAATGATAACGCCGTCCCTTATGCTCTGTCCACCCCTCGTCGCATACCCATTCCCTTAACTGACAAAGTCAAGGACGAGTTGGAAAGAATGGAAAAGATGGGAGTCATCTCTAAGATAGAGAAACCGACTGATTGGTGTGCAGGAATAGTATTACATTACATTACATTACATTACATGTCATTTAGCGGACGCTTTTATCCAAAGCGACGTACAATAAGTGCATTCAACCATAGGGTACAAACTCAGGAGAACAAGAAACAAGAAAGTGCAATTTCCTCAAATAAGCCAATTTACAATTTGCTATAGATGAGTGACGTTACAAGTACAATTTAAGTGCTACAATTTGTTAGTCTTTAGTCGAGGTAGAGTCTGAAGAAGTGTGTCTTTAGTTTGCGGCGGAAGATGTGAAGGCTCTCTGCGGTCCTGATGTCTTCAGAGAGCTCCTTCCACCATTTCGGCGCAAGGACAGCGAAGAGTCGAGATCTAGTCGAGTGAATAGTAGTGGTCCCAAAACCCAATGGTAAGATAAGACTCTGCGTTGACCTTACCAAACTCAATGAGGGAGTGTGCAGAGAAAGACACATATTACCCTCAGTGGATCATTCATTAACACAGCTGAATGGGGCGCTGGTGTTCACAAAGCTGGATGCATGTTGTGGGTTTTGGCCAATACCCTTAGCACAGGAGAGCAGGGAGCTCACAACATTTATCACCCCCTTTGGCCGATATTGTTTTAACGTCCTCCCGTTCGGAATTAACTCCGGACCTGAACATTTTCAGAGACGCATGTCCCAGCTCTTAGAGGCGCTAAGTGTTGTGATATGCCACTCAGATGATATCCTCATATGTGGAGAAAATAAGGTACAACAAGATGAACGTCTCACAGCTGTGTTGACACGTCTCCAGGAGGTCGGACTAACACTAAATGAAAAGTGTACCTTTGCACAGCCGGAAGTTCTGTTTGTGGGAGACAAAATCAGTGCGGGAGCCATATAACCTGGCCCTGAGAAAATCAGAGCTATCACAGACATGCCCATCCCACAGAATGCAGCAGATGTTAGGCGTTTCTTGGGAATGGTCACATATATTGCAAAGTTTATCCCTAACTTTGCAGACACCACCAAACCGCTCAGAGACTTGCTATCAAAGAGCAATGAAGCAATGAGCTGGCATCACAGAGAGTGTTGGCTCAGTACAGACCACACGCCAAAACAAAAGTGTCTGCAGACGCGTCATCCTTTGGCCTGGGTGCTGTCCTTACACAGAGACAGGATAACATGGAGTGCCGTCCAATCGCATACATCTCTCGAAGCCTCTCTGAAACAGAGCAACGTTACACCCAGGTTGAAAAGGAGGCGTTAGCTGTCATCTGGGCATGTGAAAGGTTGAGTACATATATCATAGGCCTATCGTTACAAGGCCTACCCACAATAGAGACAGACCATAAACCACTACTGGCTCTATTGATGACAAAAGCATTGGATGATTTACCTCCCAGAGTGCAGCGATTCCGCCTCAGACTGCTGAGGTTCACATACATGATGACTTACGTGCCAGGGAAGGCACTCATCACAGCTAATGCACTCTCCAGGGCTCCTGTGAGACGCCCACTGACCAAAGAAGAGGCACAGCTAGAAGGGGAAGTGCAGATATTTATCAATATGATACGTGAAAACTTACCGGCATCCCAGTGTAAACTATAACAGATAGCAGAGCACATGTAATGTAATGCTTAACTGAGTTTCCACTAAACCTGCTTCTTGAAACGGACCCCTCGATCAGCCTGATGTTTGGTCTGGTTGTTTTATTGATAAAAAACAAACAAATACTGAAGGGAGCGAGTAGGGCACACAGGTAAACCCCCACCCTCCTGCAGTAAGGCTGCACTACTTCTTGCTGAGGCTCCTCATGTTAACAAGTAGCAGCTCGTTCACTTAGGTGACGCCGGTAATTGTGGCCACAGAGAGTCCCTTTTTGTCTTCTTTTAATCTCCCCTCAGCACCAATCATCAGACACTAACCTGATGATCACGTCTCTCTGGTGAATCTCTGTGGGTCTGGGAGGAGGAGCTGAACAACAGAAAGTTGTTGAAGTTGGTTGTGGAGAGATATCAGATAGTAAGCTGCCCCCTGCTGAGTGTTTATCTGCAGGATGAAGGGGAGCGTAACCCTCAGCCCATTTCCTGTTCGGGTTGAGGAGAAAAGCAGCCCTGTGATCAAGCTGAGCTCACGTCCGCTGCTAAAGCCTAGTTTATGCTTCTGCATTTTCAGAGAGACGCAAGGAAACGCAACTTTAACTTAACAACTGGCACTAAAAAACAGAACTAAAGCAAATCAGCAATTAAATGAACCTAAAACAGTAGAATGAACAACACATTTAGCAGACTAGCTTGGTTTAAAGAAAAGATACATAGTCCGATTCCAGGTCGCCTGGATGTCTGATGACCTTGTAGTCCAGATGACGGAACTATGCTCAGATCTAGACTGTCCTCATTAGCCTAGCTTAGCATAACAAGCTTGCTGTTAATACCAATGTCCCTGTACCAGAGTTACACTGTGTGTGTGTGTGTGTGTGTGTGTGTGTTTGTGTGTGTGCTGTAGCTGAATCTTTTTTTCTGTTGTTTTCAGGAGAAGAATTTTACGAGGCGTCTCCCTACGAGCCGATCCATTTCGCAGAGGAATTCCGACATGCCTCCATCATCTCAGGTATGAGGGTGTGTGTGTTTGCAGCAGTGAGTGATGTATTTGGGGGATTACGAAGAAGATGAACCAAACATCTCTCTCCATCTGTGAGTGGGTGAATGAATGCCTTTTTGTGTGTGTGTTACTGTGTGTCTCTGTGTGTGTGTGACACAAGCTGAAGCAGTGCTTTCATAAGAGCAGCTCTTTCCTCCTTTCATAAAAGGCAGTGAGATGTTCCATAATGTTTGTGTGTCAGAGGCTCTGGTTAGAGGCGGCGTGGTGGCCCAGCTGTCAGCAGCAGTCCTCTGGTTAGAATCCAGCTTCCGCCCTCAGGCCAAACACACGCAGGTCAGATTGTATAATATAGACCATTTAATGTACTGTAGTAAGAGTATATAATAATAATTAATGGCATGATCGGCGTAGTCATTTTTTTCTCACTTCGATCCTCTGACTTCCTCATCCTCTCTTCCTTTCATCCTCTTCCTCACCTATCTTCTCTTCCTCATTCATCCTCTCTTTGTCTCTTCCTCACCTATCTTCTCTTCCTCATTCATCCTCTCTTTGTCTCTTCCTCACCTATCCTCACTACTCCTCTTTCTTTCATTGTCTCTTCCTCATTCATCCTCTCTTTGTCTCTTCCTCACCTATCTTCTCTTCCTCATTCATCCTCTCTTTGTCTCTTCCTCACCTATCTTCTCTTCCTCATTCATCCTCTCTTTGTCTCTTCCTCACCTATCCTCACTCATCCTCTTTCTTTCATTGTCTCTTCCTCATTCATCCTCTCTTCTTCACCTCACTCATCGTACCTAATCAACTTTGTGAAATAACCTTGTGCCCATATCAGCCAGGTGTTAAACTAATAAAACATTAACCATTTATGGTTTTAATATCTTTTAACATCTTTTAGTTTTCTTCCCGCTTCTAACTGCGCACGTCCGGCTTTCCTACCTTCAGAATAAGAGCGCAACCGGAAACACACCAACTTCCGTAACAAAATGCCTCAAATAAAATGCAATAAAAAAGTAAAAATCTATTAAAATACTCCCCACTCTCAGAGGGCCTTTACACTCTCTTCCTTTTCTCATCTTCTCTTCCTCACTAATCCCCTCCTTCGCTCCTCCTCACTGCATCATCAGCCCTTTTAATTGGTCACACTACATAAAAGCTGTTCTGGTGACACCTTTCTGAGGAGTGTTTAAATGTCACGAGCCCCTGAGCACAGTGTGTGTGTGTGTGTTAGTGTGTTTGTGGTATGTTTGTATGTGTGCTAGAACAGCTTGTGAAATAAGACTCACCAGTTCTGTAAATTGGGGTTCTGCGCTCTCA